AAGAATGACGTGACACTGATGCTTATATCATGAGGACTCATCACTGGAATCCAAGAACCCAAAAGATGTGTAAGGCACTATTCAACAATGACCAATCCAAAATAATCTAGGAATCCGAGGAAATCCAACAAGTCTATAGAGAACGTGAACTAATCCCATTCCTCAAACAAGCAACGTTGCATATCGGAAACGTACATCTAGGTCTGATTTCCCCTCAGTTCCTGGAATCGCATGTGACATTCCGAAGCATACAAACGCCGGCTTTCAGTTGTTAGACAATGTCGACCAAAAGAGGAAACTATTTAGGTAATCTTTCCATTTATCTAAATATTGCGACAAATCCCCTTTTCAAGGTAGTTGGAACAGATGAAGTCTCAGTGACAAAGAAATTAGGTGACCGCAAAGGATCGTTGGCCTCGTATCAAACAAACCACTTCTACAGTGGCATTAACCCCACTATATTTCAGTGTTCTTATTAAATAGACCCTTCTAATTTCTTTTCAGTTGATGAATGTTTCCAGACGCTTGAAAGGATGAGCTTGTTGTATTCTGAGGGGCAAGTGGACTTCAGGACATTGGTTCTCATAAAATATTTGAAAAACGATCATAAGTCGTCGATTTCTAGGGGGGGGGCAGCATCGGACGTATGTGCTGTGGGAATACTGATATTTTTCAGTAAATCCGAATGAGACTGAGCGAATGAGTGGTCACATTTGATTTTCAGACAAACGTATCTCCAAATTATTGCACTATCACCCTTAGGTTGTTTTAGGCTAGCGACAGCCTCCTCATATATATTCCTCACCATTAATTGCTATCACTAGTTTGTGGATCACAGACTTACCCGCAGATACTGCGAAAGCAGATGCAGCTAGCTATCCACGCAGCCTTCTTGGTTAACTGCACCGATGGCTTAACCAACGGCGCCTGGACTATCCACAAGTTTCGACTTTGCCCCATCATACCTTGAGACTTATGGCCCGAAAACACAGCACTATCGTCACCCTATTATCAACGGAGACAGCAACACTAGCGTTGACAATGATATTGGCCGCCGTACAACCAAAAAGCTTACTTGACTTCATTTCGGGCCTTAAAGTGAAAGAGAAAGGCCGAGACGGGAAGAGGAGGGACTGGGTATAGGCACTCCACAAGAATCCTCAGTTTCCTAAACTTTTAAATGTCTAATCAAATAACCTAGAAATAACAGCGCAAACGTCTTTGATGACGGTCAGTCAAGCACGGAGATGGTACTCAAACCCCGTCCTTAAAGACGGACCGCATCAACAACATCCGAGTTCCTCGCAATCTATTTCACCTCATCCTTACAACCCACAATTTCTGCACCTCGTAGTCCGCGGCATTTTGAAGAACGCACGGAGGACAACTCTCTTCTCGGGCGACAATGATTCAAAATGCGTAACAAATGGCTGAGTTACCGCAGTTTACGGTGTTCAATTTCGTCAGCAACCGACGTAGCCGCTGCACAACCGAATACCTGTTTTTTTATTGACATGCAGAAGCCAATCGATACGAGAAAAGCTAGGAGCATCGGTGGTAAAAAACTGAGGATTCCACAAATGACCTTCCTGTAGAGGTCATGTTTACTAACCAAACAAAAACAGGCCTTACTGTAGTCTGATACATGCGACCCTTGAAAGCCAGTGATATGTAGTTTTTACGCCACAAGTGACGCAGTTCGCATACATGATTCGGACCCTTGAGAAGAGTGTACTGACTTCATCAAAAACTTCATCAGAGCTAACTAACGATGCGTATAAAATCCCTTTAACCTACACTGCTTCTCCCCGAATTTGAAAGACCTATGTTCTGAAGCACATATATGCACTTTGTATGTGCAAAGCACACACCAAGTTGGTTCAAAAACGGTTTTGCTTTGTTTTTGCCTTCGACATGGTTGTTATCATCAGTGAGTTGAGAAAAGGGGTTTTACAGACCTTTCAATCCCACCTATGATGGAAATGAACTAAAAAGAGGTGGTGGACAAACTTACAAGATGTAAATTATGCGGGACAGGTTATCAGAGAGATTCCATTGTGTGTAACGCCCGGGATTAAGTCAATGTAAGGATTCCGTTGTATTCAGGAAATTATGGGTCAAGCGTATTCAGAGGCCCAACCGACATACAGAATGAAACGCACACCTGAAGTCAAGGAACACCAAGATTGTTGATCGCTTGTACATACAATGCTGCTATAAAACTTGAAGGAGTGGAAACATGCTTGCTTCAGCCCCTACCCAGTTAGTTTGGGGCCTCGCATGCTGCCTTAAGACGACGAGGAATACATGATGCCAAAGACTTTGTCACAGCGCAGTCAACCTGACACCATTATGCCTATGACATCAATCACTAGTATCCTTCTGAAAAGAAGTCACATATCGGCTGTCGCTCCATACATCATATTAGCGATTGTTTATTCCTAGATTAGGAGGGAGAGCAAAATCAAGGCCATTTTAGTAGAAAGAGTGAAGCGCAACGTCGGAAATAAAGTATCCGTGGGGTGGTGGGCTGTCGGTGACAGCAGTTCCTAAAGAGCGGTCATTTAGGTTAAGGATTACGAGTTGGCAAATCATATGGCGTCCGTTGGTATGGAACATACCCAAGACAAACAAAAGCCGTTTACGGTAGAGTCTCTTAGAACTTTGAGAATACTCAAGTTTAGGTTCATATTGGTGGGAGGAAGGCTTGGTGTGCTTCAGCCATATCATTCGAGTCCATCGCGTGGAGGTTATCAGTTAATGACCCCGGCATGAATCACCAGGTGTTGGTTCGCACCTATGGGTGTCCAAATTGTACTAGGTGTTTATCTGACGCATTCTTAAATGCCATTATGGAAGACAAAGCAACTGTCACATGTAATCAGAATTCCAAATTCTAACCCACGAATCAGTTGCCGGTGGTTTCAGAAGTACTTGAAAAACAGGTTGCGTTGGAGCTGATTGATAGAGCTAGTGAGAACTGCAGACTTCACAGTGAGAACTCCCCTACACTTTCCGATTTCGGGTTGGTCATCACTGAAATCAATGACAAATTTGTTTATCACAGTCAGCGGGTTCCAGTAGACTTGGATTGGTTGATATGGTCACAAAAATAGATAAGCGGCAGGGATGACCAATCTTAAAACCCGACAACATTGGTTTCTTTTCACGTTCCGATGGAACATGAGCGGTCAGGGTAGATACTGACGCCGCAGTAGTAGTCGAGTATCACATGCCTGGAGATATTGCAGAACGTTGAACTGCGGAATCAGAGGTAGCGAGTACAAGGCGCAACGAACTCGCACTATTCCTGAATGCGATCCGGAGCGGAAATACAACAGATAAGTGAGAAAACTGACTGGACTGAGTTCTTAGATGGTACAGTAACCCGACGAAAACTCTGCGACACATCTTTGGGCTTATCAATGACTGAGATTACCGGAATCAGGATTTTGCAGCCTCGACTACTGATAGTGGACGGTATTTGCATTTTCCCGCAATTTGGAGGATATGATACATAAGTACAGTAACGCAATCACTCAATTTCGTGATGAGACTGTCCTGTCTAGAATTATTTTGGAAAGGTAGAGAATGGCCTGTATGTGGTCGGTAAAGCCAGAGTATACCTTGAGAGTTATTTCGTCGACAGCTTCAGGGATAAGCAATTACACATTAACGCAGCTACGGATCTGAAATGCGATATTAGTAATGCACACCATGCACCACCCGATAGGGAGGAACACCGACTAGCGGAGAGTTCAGCACGGTTTACATCGGACCGTGATTCATATGCGACACTATTTAGCACTGATAGCTGCTTGTTCATAGGGTTATCCACGGTAACACCAAATGAAAAGATAGAACAAACATCGAAGAGGAAAACTGACAGCTAGGTGCCACCACAGAGAGAAAATGGGAGAAACTGTAATGGAATTTCCCACAAGTTGAAGGTACAACCTCTGAGAGAATAAATATGGGAAAAATGATAGGGACTTGATCGAGATTCGGGTGTCGCACGAAACAAAGCGCAAACTCACCCCCTCCCCTCACAAAGCATCACAAACAAGTGGAAAACCAACGGAAACATGTTCGTACTGAACTTCGGTATCCTTGGACCACTCCAAACTGAATAGTAGTTTCACGAAACTCCAGGGAACCATATCAAAAGCTCATATGTAAGTGGCTATCAAATTATCGGACGTCTTGATGAGTTAATCGGGGCAAACCGTGGTTACTGGAATGAATGACCATATATGAGTTATTGTCGATGCAGGAGGTCACCCGATTACCATGATTCCAAACAAGAATAGCCTTTCTGGACGCGTGTTTCCGTTGAAAATGAAAACCGAGCACCATACTGGCAAGAGCCTATGTCGAGTATATACATTAAGCCAGCAAGCTTATTTTGGTGACCCAATGAACCATTCTGATGCACTGCTTACGCAACATAAATTAAGTAGAGTAACTTATACTTCAGTGATGTGACCTTCTGCTTCTCTGGCCTTTTGGGAAGTAACTTCAGTGACGCTGGAAAACCTGCTCGTTAAGGATGTCCAAATCGAGAGACACCAACCAATGCTGCGTTAGTTTCGTTTCGGCAACTCTCGGAACTGCGTGTCCCATTCGGTCCTGGCCAGTCAGGACCAAACGAATTGCTCGGTAGTCCGATGAAACACACCGCGAGCGAGAACGATAAAACAGACAACCGTTGAATTGAGCAGACGGTTTTGGGGAATAAAACTTAGCGCAAAAAAACAAGTGAGCAGACGCGAAGTTCAATGGGGATGCGCCCACGTCCTTTTATAAAACTATGTCGATAAGTGATTATATTGATCGATTTCTATATAAAACATCCGTGTATGTAATTATTTCAGCTTCGACAGTTTCAGAGATGGTGGAAGGCATAATTGTCAGCCAGAAATTAACAGACGGATAAATGTTCTGCCCTGTCACGGATACTCGGGTCGGTTTGTTCTTGTCGGTCAGTGGCTGTCGTTCACTTGAAAGGCACAAGTGAAAAAGGGTGTAGCATTGCTCTTAATTTTCTCAAGGCGGGGCAGTACGCTTGCCAGCGCGAGGAGTCGCATAAATAAATGTCTAATAGGGCTTTAAATTGGGTTCTAGAAGGAGCGTGGACAACCGTCGGAGGAATGTCATTCCACGCAGCTACTACCCGAAATGAGAAAAAAAGT